GGGGGGGGGGGGAGGGGGGATGCCAAAGACGGTGCCGAATGCTCACCTGCAACTGCATCGTAGACGTTAGCGTGACGCTTGGTCTCGTTTGCTTGAGGATTCGTTGGTTCTGGTTTGCTTGAACTGTGCCTGACCGGAATGGCATGGTCGTTTTTGAGCCGCTCCATCTCGATTCTGGGGATGGGACAGGGCAAGGTAGGAATGGTCTTGGTAGATCAGACGCCGCTCGGAGGCGGTCGCAAGAGGATGTGTGGAGGTTGCAACGATGCTTGGCAGCAGCTTGAAGGCGTCCGGATACTTGGGCTACCACGTTATGACGAATGACGGCGTCTGGCAGATGGCGAGTCGGCTCAAAGGCGTCCGCTGTTGTTGGAGTTGAAGTCGAGGTTGCTGGACTGGCCCGGTCTGATATGCCTAAGGTGGTCTCCAAGAAGAATCCAGGGTGAAAGTGCCGTCGATGCCCGTTCCTTCCTGTCATGTCTCTGGAAAGAACGGACTGGCGGTGCAGCTGGAAAGACTTTGGCAGGTGGGGCCATATGAGTCTGAGCCAATGATATCCACGGACACGTCTGCTATCGGCAGCTCCAAGCGGTGCGATAGCACCTTTACAGGGAGCTAGTGCGCTGAGAACCAGTGGAAGGTGTGCGCAGTCGCAGCTGACATCATCCTGGCTCTCCAACCTCAAGGCATCCGCCTAACCTCGGACGATGCGGCGGCATATCGTCGCTTCTCATCAACACCGTCGTCGAACACCCATTTCGCCCGACCGCTCAACCACATCTCCCTGCTCTTCATTGACCCTTGATGAATGCAAGCCCGTCTGTTTGCTCGCTCCACCGGCGAGCTCAGCCCTGAGGCCTTCGCCCAGGCGACCACTGCAGGCCTCGTCCGAACCTTTGCAGCTGCTCCCCAACACCGATTCGATGGCGGAGGTGCTGAGCCCGAAGTCGAAGGCAGACAATCTGCCTTGTGGGCACATCGGATAGGCGTCAATGCTCTGGCCCTTGACAAGTTTGATGGTCGGCTGTGAGATACATGAAAGACACCTTACCTTAGTCCTCGAGCACTAACACACGCCATAGACTGATCTCTGGAGGCGCTGATGGCTCCGTGAAGCTTTGGGATCTGGAACATGCTCCTAATCCAAACTCTTCCTACACCTTTGAGCCCATTGCCAATGCTTCTCGCTCCGTCGGCGACAATGGCATTGCTCACAAGAATGGCGTTACCCACCTCGACTTCTTCCCCTTCGACTCGGACGCCTTCCTTTCAAGCTCTTTTGACCGCACGCTGAAGCTATGGTCTACCGAAAGGATGGTAGTTTCTGCCAACTTCGATCTGAACGCCGACATCTACACTCATGCGACCAGTCCTATTGCCGATCATCTCCTCGTCGCCTGTGCCACGCAGCATTCATCCGTTCGCCTTGTCGACCTCAAGTCCGGGTCCTCGGTCCAGTCCCTCGTCTCCCAGGGCGGCGCTGTGCTATCTGTAGCCTGGAGTCCTCGCCATGAACATGTCGTTGCCACCGGCCATTTCGATGGAAAGGCCCGCCTGTGGGACATCAGGCGCGCTTCCGGCCTCATTGGCCAGCTCGACCAGGAGGATCACCTGGGTATCGTCCACCGCTTCAACCACGCCAAGGCCTGCGGCATGGATTGGAACCAGATGCCGCACTTTCGCAGCGCGGCCCAGGCCCACAACGAAGGTGTCAACGCACTTACATGGTCTGACGACGGCAAGTACATCATCTCTGCTGGCCTTGACCGTCGCATACGCGTCTGGGATGCTGCCACGGGGGCGAACACGCTGGCGGCATTCGGCTCTATGATTCAGAATCGACAACCAAAGACGGTCAGCATGTTTGTCACTCCGGCCAGGCTCACACCAATTCGTCGAGATCTTCTCTTCTGGCCGAACGAGAACGAGATCCTGGTCATGGATCTGCATGAGGGCACTTTGGTATCTCGCCTACGCGTTCCAGGGCCATCCACAGCAGCAGGCGCTCAGGGCATTGGAGGTATCAACGTCCAAAACCGCACCATGGATATTGTATGGCGCGGAAACGCAGGATACAGACTTCAAAAGGGGCCAATCATGGGCGGAGGAAGCTCATGCGGTGCAGTGTACACCGCCCACCTAGACGGCCAGATTCGAGCATGGATGCCGCGACTGCCAGGGCCAGACAGAGACGACGATACCTTGGATCCTATCGACAAGGATGAAGAGGAGAAAGGCCGTAAACGAAAGGCTCTCGACGATGCTTTTAGGAGCTTGATGGGGAAGCAAATCACGTTCAGATGACGCGTTAATTTGCCCACCCAGATCTCATACAGATTTTATTGATACTGGAAATATCTCAGGGCGTTTGGCGGGCCATATCCATAATTAGCTATATTGACTTGGTGCCAATCCGTGCCTGTGATGTGACTACACTTCTCGACATTCATGCCAAGTTCAGCTACGTAACGTTGCAAAGATCGGATGCCTCACGAAACTCACAAGCTTGCCCATGCATGTCAACATTTCCTCCGCATCATCGACATAGTAGCATTGAGAGCCATGACTTACAGAGATCTCCAACATGGACATCCGAGCAAAAGACATCCCCCGCGGAAAAGCATAGCGCGCACATCCCAAAGGTAGCATTCTGAATCTAGCATCGCAGCTCAGCTCTGGCATATCAAAACCACTGGGCCTGTCCCTGAGGCAAAACCCGTCGCGGCCACGTCCAAGAACACCACTCCCAAGACCAGTAATCGCCGACCTTCAACATGCCGAACTCACCAGAAATACCACCCCTCACGGCGCCCGTCGGCCCCATTAGCAACAAGAACCCATCAATCCCGCCCCGATCATCACCGCTCAGACACTCGCACATCGAACATTGATAACCCACCTGTGCTTCTCCATGTCGGCGCCGTTACATCGGCCCTCTGCCGAATCCCCTCGAGGGCAGGGCTAGAACGGGGTCTCTGCATCCCATCTCTGCTCGGCCCAATGTGCTGCTCGACGTCCGCCCGGCTGCTGTAAGTCCCGGGGCTGGCAGGGTTTGTGTCCGCGTCCCCGCCCCTGTTGCCGTCCTCCACCCCCACCCACCGGGCGCGCCGGAACCGCTTCCCCGCCGACCTTTTCTGACCTCCTGCATTAGCTCCCGCGCCGTCCCAGCATCATGGTCCTTGTTACTGACAGAGGCGCGCCTCTTCACGAAGGAGGGTGCGACGCGCGCACGCCTCACCCCAAATCAGCCCTGTAACCACGCTCCCTCCTCTTCCATCGACTGACGCGCCACTTATGCATCGAGATGGGCAAATTAGCCATGAAAGCAGGGGGGGGTCGGACGCGGAACCGGCGGTAGATCCAGAGCACACCACCTCGCTCGGATCGGACCTGGGGCTGGAAAATACGGGGTTGCCATCGACCAAGATCAGACGTCACAAAATAGGAAACCCGATGAAATCGCCCAACGAAAGAAGCCCGGGTATCTCTCCAACGCACGGCTGGGGGGGGAAATGGATTGCCAAACGACGTCGAGATGACAACAGACACTAGCTAGTTCGCACCGCGAACTGTCTGAATCCGCGAGACCACATTAGCGGCAGCGTAGCGTGGATATCCTGCCATGAGCGCTCAGACGTCTTCACACCGGTCGTCGAAAATGGGATGGAAAACCAGGGCTGACCGCGCTGTGCGTTCCCCCATCTTTTCGACCGGTCGCAAAGCTTAGCACATAGTCTGCCCCCTTCGTTCTCGTTCCGGCGTCCTCAACGAACATGTAAGTGAGACTAGCCGTCGAAGGCCTCGTCGAATAAAACCATCCCGCCAGCGTTGGTGCCGCGACGTTCCTGGCCGGACTTACATGCAACTCACACGTTTTCCGTCCTGATTCCTCAGCGGCTCGGACCTAAGACATGCCGGGGGGGCTAGAAGTAATGATGGACATCTTCAGCCCACACACACCTCATGGCCCCCCAATATCGCCAGCCCTGCGCTGCTGCAAGCCTCTCCCACCTCCCACACGCGTGGCAACATCGTGCCGTCCGCCGCCTCTCGCGCGCCACTACGGAACCGCGGCTAACCGGTTCGTCCGGGCGACGGACGATGATGCAGGGGTAGCCCAAAGCAGGCGAGGGGCGGGCGCATGAGCTCTTCATCACGGGGGCACGAGAAGGCTGAATGCGCGATGTTCCCACGCCAAAAGAGGATGATCGTCGACGGCGCCGAACATCATTTTCCTTCGGACGGCGCCACGCCCACTTCCCTTGGCAATGACACGCCAGGCACCGTACAGGTTTAGGGCGTGTTGGAGAGTGAGGCAATAGATCTGCTATTTGATTCTAGACTCCGAGCAACTGTCGTCATTCCTCCTTTGGATCTGCTCTACGGCTCGTCAGGGGTTGAAGAGGGTGAGGCGCGTCGTCGTCGTCGGGGTTCGGAAGTGTGCCGTGGTTGCATCCATCCAGAGACGGGAAGAAGTTTATGTGCTCCAAGTGGAGGCTGAAGTGTTGGATATTCCGTCTCGCGGGCTGCAGGTCAACAAAAGCAGAAAACGCTCTAGACGTCGCGATTTGGCTTGGCTTGCGAGATTGCGCGCGCGGGCTGGGAGACTATTGTCGACGATGCCTTCAGCGTTAATGCACTGATATGGGGGTTAGGGGGGTGGCGAGGCGGGCAGATTATGTTGGGTTTTTGGAATTACCGTGGTACAGCAAGACCTTTACACCTGCGTACTAGATATTGTTTAACTTTGGTTAGGTGGTGCTAAACTTCGCTTCGTACTATGAACGAGTCTTGGACCTCTTTATGCAATTTTCTAGAGATTGCCCCCGTTTTTCTGAGTACTGAGCCTTATTTCCGACCTCGCCTGGGTTGCAGAAGGCTGTCTGCGATTTCAATGCATCAATAATCTATTGCTGCAAGCACGTGGTCGAAGCGACACAACGACCTTGTAAGTAAACACCCCTGGTCTCTAGTAGGTTAAGTAAGTATCGCTAACGCGATATAGGGCAAACACATCTGCGAAACGCGTTCTTGCAGTCGTTTCAGCAGGAGTTCAACCCTGACCTAGAAAGGATTCGAAGGTGTGGCCTTGAGGCAAAGCAAGAAATCAAACTTGCAAAGGCTAGGGCCGACCAACAGGACCAAAGACTCCAGCAAATGGAGAGGGAAGCGGCAACCAGGGAGAGGCTTAAGGTCAGGCATTTGTTCTCACGAGTAATAAGCGACCTCGACATAATTAAGAACGACTAGATGCAGCGAGGCATTTGTCGAGCGGGTAACTCGTTCTTTATAGCTGCGAATTGTACTTAAAAACCTTCTGACAGACTTATAGAGCAAAGCCGTCGCCAGCTTCTCGACTCATTATCGTCTTATGACTACCTTACACACTTCAAGAAATCCTGTAAACTAAGACACCTGAAAACTGCAGAATGGCTTTTCTAATCGACTGCTTTTATTCTATGGGAAGAAGGAATCTCCTCGCCATGGCTGTGGTGTTCAGGCAAAAGTACGTCAAATGAAGCATTACTTCAACTATGCTGATTCAAAACAGTTGGATCTGGCAAAACAGTCCTCACGTAAGTAGGTTCTTAATTTGAAGGTCCTCCAGCTATGGCAGCTATTGACCCTACTCTAAGTGCAAGTGCCGTCGAACATATCTATGCGCACGAGCGTAGGGCGAGAGAAAATGTCACATTCTTCTTCCCTCATTTCGCAGATTAGACACCGCTATCTGCAGAGACTACACTTCGATCGATTATCCGACAGTCACTCGACCTAGTGAGACTATCTAGCGACTGGGAATCGCGTCTAATAGAGCTGGATTGGAAACCCTCCTCAGAGCTAGGCGAATTAATATTACTTCTTCGAAAGGTAATCGACCCGTCTGACACATTCTATATCTTCATCGACGCACTGGATGAGTTTGAACCGGCAGAACGATGAGCGCTACTTGGCTCTTTGGTCTCAGTTTCCTCTGGGTGGCGCTTAAGAGTGTTCATTTCGAGCTGTGAAAGCTTATCAGGCGAACTTAGGGATAGGATTCCAAGCATTGAAACAATTTTGATGGCATCTCCTGAGGCCAAGGTCGACATTGCTACTTTTGTTGAAGAAACACTTCAAAGACGACAGGAAAACGGTGATCTTATGGTTTAAGACCAATCTATTGTTGATGATATCAAGTGGGCTCTTATTAATTGCGCGGATGGAATGTAAGTTGATAATGACTGCACCTTATGCTGCTTACTGACGAATAAGGTTTCTCTGGGTTACTTTCCTATTGGATGAAATTTGTGCGCAAACCTGCGACGACGATATTAAAGACGCCGTGGGACGTCTTCCGAAGACCCTGACCGAGACGCTGAGCAAAGCCCTCCATCGCATTATTAAGCAGGGTAAATCCACAATCGCAAATAAAGCCTTTTAATGGATTGCGATAGCGAAGCGCCCTTTGACACTAGATGAGCTCCGTGAAGCCATCTCTACAAAAGTCGGCCAACTATCCTCTAATCCCGGACAAATGGTTAATGGTATAGACCGTCTGCCTACGTGGTGCGAAAATCTCATCCATGTTGATGAAGAATCGAGAACTGCAGAGTTTGCCCACAAGGCAGTTCATAAGTTCATCGTCGAAGGATTATCAGGACCCGACTACGCCGAGTTTCATTTCAAGCCAGAGGACGCTGATCATCACGCAGGTGAACTCTGCGTTACCTACCTGAACTTTAGCGACTTTATGATAACTATCACCTAATAGTTGCAACTAGTCAAAATCGACCTAACTAGTATAGCCCACTCAGTGTTAAAGAACTCATGGAACCTACCTAAGTCAATTAGTAGTGCTGTTATCATAATGCGAAAGAATGTCTAAGCTGAGACTGACCCGGCTGGAATACTGGCTATATATAATAGGTTGGACGATGCAGAAGCTATAAACACGCTACAAGTCCATTATCTGTTTCTTAAGTACGCGTCAGTACACTGGATTTCCTACACCACTTGATTTAGGTGTCGTACGTCCTCGATATGGGATATATGGCAATATATTATCACTTGAAAATATGGTCTGGCAAAGATACCTTGGTTGAACTAAGAAGAGCAAGGAGGTTTAAACACTAATATCTTGCATTGGAGTTTTGTAAACCGTCATGTTGCTCTTATTGGATACCTTGGACGTCTCGGCAAGATATATGATGAAGACATACAGAGGTCCTTAAGAAGCGCTGCTACGTACGGTGATGTAGACATGGTAAGCGCTTTACTTGAGAGTGGTTATGCGGTTAGGATCGCCTCGTCATATCTACAAG